GGGACTTTGGCAGTAAATTTAGAAAACTGTCTTGGTTAAACATACAATGTTTTCAGGAGTAGAAATATGGCACATCTGAGATACTCCAGAAGGTATCTAATTTAGTCCAGTACCTGGATTTTAGAGTCATTTTCTGAACTGTGGAAGGATACCCACTCCAATATTCTTGCCTGGAGAACCCCATGGACAGTATGAAGAGGCAAAAAGATATGATGCTGAAAGATGAGCCCCGCCCCCCCAGGATGGGAGGTGTCCAGTATACTACTGGGGAAGAGTGGAGGGTGATTACTCATCCTCCGGTAAGAATGAGGCAGCTGGGCCAAAGCAGAAATGATGCTCAGGTGTGGGTGTGTCTGGTGGTGGCAGTTAAGTCTGTGAGGAACAGTATTGCATAGGAACCTGGAATGGTGGTTCCATGAATCAAGGTAAATTGGAAGTGGCCTAGTAGGAGATGGCAAGATTGAATATTGGCATATTAGAAATCAGTGAATGAAAATGGATGGGAATGGGCGAATTCAATTCAGATGACCATTATATCTACTACTGTGGGCAAGAATTCCTTAGAAGAAATGGAGTAGCCCTCACCTGAAATGTAGTACTTGGGTGCAGCCTCAAAAACAATAGAATGACCTCAGTTCATTTCCAGAGCAAACCATTTAACATCATTGTAATCCAAGTCCATGCCCCAACCACTGATGCCAAAGAAGATGAACAGTGCTATGAAGACCTACAAGACCTTCTAGAACTAAGACCAGAAAAAGCTGGCCTTTTCATCAAAGAGGATTGGAATACTCTTTGTAGGAAGAAATGCAAAATACTCAAAAGTAGGAAGTCAAGAGATACATGGAGTACAAAATGAAGCAAGGCAAAGGCTAACTGAGTTTTGGCAAGAGAGCATGCTGGTCATAGCAGACACCCCTTTCCAACAACCCAAAGAATTGATACTTTTGAATTGTGGTGTTGGAGAAGACTTTTGAGAGTCTCTTGGACTGCAAGGAGATCAAATCAAACCAGTTAATCCTAAAGTAAATCAACCCTGAATATTCATTGGGAAGGACTGATGCTGAAGCTCCAATACTTTGGCCACCAGATGCAAAGAGGTGACTCATTGGAAAAGCTCCTGATGCTGGAAAAGATTGAAGGAAAAAGGAGAAGGGGACAGCTGAGGATGCAATGGTTAGATAACATCACCAACTCAAGGGACAAGAATTTGAGCAAACTCCAGGAGATAGTGGAGGACTGAGGAACCTGGTGTGCTGCAATCCATGAGATTGCAAAATGTCAGATCCAACTTAGGAACTGAAAACAACAGAAACGACTCTGTTGTTCATTCTAAATCAAACCAAGGAAGTCCTGAATGATTTTCACTTATTTGACAAACACTCACTGATGAGGATGGTAGCCTCATAGCGGGTACAGCCTGATGGGGATGCAGGAGGTAAACGGGCAGTGACAGGACCGAGTGGTGTGCGTGCACGCCCAGCAGCTTCGGTCGTGTGGGACTCTTTCTGACCCCGGGGACTGCAGCCGGCCGGGCTCCTCTGTCCATGGAATTCTCCCACTCCAGGGGGCACCATGCCCTCCTCCCAGGGGATCTTCTCCACCCGAGGACGGGACCCGGGTCTCCTGCGTTGCCGGCAGACTCTTTGCTGCTGAGTCGCTGGGAAGCCCAGGTCCTCAGAAAAGCCGGCAGAGGAGGAGGGAAGCCCGGAAGAGAGCGATTCTCGCCGTCCTGGGGAGTGAGGGAGGGCTGTGACAGCAGCTGGGGGCTCCTGGAGCGCGAGAGGAGGCAAGTGCAATGGCCAGCGGGCTGAAGTGCGCCGGGGCTGGAGCAGGGTAAAGCCTCATCCCCTGTCTGCAGGAGTCAGCAGTCCTCAGTGGCTAGACTGAAGCTGGCAGGAGATGAGCTGGAAAATTAGGTGGGGTCAGGGGCATGAAGGACCTTATGAATCAGAAAAGCATTCGAAAACGACATTGATTGGCCTGTTCCATGTACAGTCTCCTGTTTAGCCTTCTTTTCCTATCACTGAAACAACGTAGCAGCCTAAGAATTATTGCCCTTCTGTCAGTCACAAGTAAGTGGGAGTTAATATTAAAAGGTTCGTTTACAAGATTGACCCTTGGCTGGCTTCTGGGAACCTAGCTGGTAAACAGTCCCCCATCACTGATACAGAACTTCTCTAACAGATAAAGGTGGCTCACTGTGTGCAGACTGTGCAAATAACCTGATTTATACTGAAGATCTACATTATTTCTCGGACTCGGGAATTTTGATACATGCTAGGCAGAGGGTTCTTATATGACCAGCCCCAGGAAAAAAAAAAGACAGAAAACAACAAAGACAAAAAAACCTTGAGTGCTCACTCTGTTAACGGGCTTCCCTAGGCAGAAGCATCACACACACGTCGCTACATTCACAGCTGCGGGAGACTGTTGTCTGTGTGACCCTCCGTGAGAGGGAGAGAACATGAGAAAGCCAGGCAAACGTTCTTGCAGACACCATTATCTTCTCTCTAAGAGTTCCTGTATGTGCTTATACATCTCCATGATAAATCCTAGCCTTGAGTACATGGAAGTGCTATATGCTAAGTCCCATGAGACTTAGTGCATGCCCCTCCTCACAGAGGACGGTCTTGAGGATCCCCTGCACACACGCTGCGGATGTTCATTGAATATTTATTGAATGAGTCGAAAATGACCTATTAAGAGGTAGAAGGATTCGTGTCCTTATTTTATATTTGTGTGATGTTTTTTTAATCAAAACTTGTCTAACCCAGTTTGATCTCTTACCATATTTCTCAAATTCTCAAACTTGGCTCTGAATTACTTTTGACTTTTACCTTCAAATGACAGAGGAGTGTTAGCTTTGAGGAAAGTTAAAAGAACGCTTCTCGCTGTAAGGGCAGTTTCAAATCAGGAGATCCAGAAAGGATTTGGATAGTGGTAAAAGTACCCAGAATTTTTATAGTGTCCCAGGGTGACTTTCTTTTTTCTTTACAGGTGAGGACTTAGCTGGCCTGTACAGATTCTGGTATCCTAATCGCCAGCTTCATTATTGCAGTGCTACCCCTTCAGGCACACGGCCTTTCTCGTGGATGTAACTCTCATAGTTGCCATTTAGTGACCACCGTGACTAACCGTGGGCTTCCCTGCTGGCTCAGATGGTCAGGAACCTGCCTGCAATGCAGGAGACCCCCTTCAGTCCCCGGGTCGGGAAGATCCCCTGGAGAAGGAAATGGCAACCCACTCCAGTATTCTTGCCTGGAGAATCCCATGGTCAGAGGAGCCTGGCGGGCTACAGTCCATGTGGTTGCAAAGAGTCAGACACAACTGAGCAACAGTTACATCATGTTAAGGCTCCCCTGGGCTCTAGCCTTCCCGGGCTCTGGGGCAGGTGCCCACAGTGGGCAGTATAGGTCGGAGGCGGGCCTGTCTAGTCTCCACCGGGAAAGCCATCTCCCCACAGTGGGGTGTCACAAGCTCTCATCAGGACCTGGCCCCCCGCCCTGACCTTGTGCCCTGAGCAGGGTGAGGGGCACTAGCAGGGTGAGCCGTGCTANAAGCAAGCACTGAAGGCTTACTTTAAAAGAGTTTATTTTTAAGCAATTAATGGATTTATAATGAGCTTCAGATCCTGCCTGGAGGAACTTACAACCAAGCAGGAAATCCTTAGCCCGCACGCCTGTGGGCTTTGCCGTCATTTTCATACATTCCTTGGAGTTCTGTTTTTCACTGAGTAACTGCCGACACTGCGACCCATTAAGCAGCAATACCCCCACCCGGTCGCCTGGATTTCTTTTCCATCAGCCCGCCTCCCTCTGGACTGAGCTGGGATTGTGAAACTGAGAGGTTCACCGCTCTCTGCTTTTCTCTTTGTGCCTTATGGCCTCCATAGCAGTCTTTTCTGGGACCTAGTAGATGAAGAAGAGTGCTACTTCTTCAGCACGGGCTAGGCCTTTTTTGATCTTTATTTCTTGTCTATTTGGAGAGGATTTGCAGTTTGTAAATGTACTGTGATATTGAAGGCCCCTGGAGTGATCAGTATATACAGCAACACAGAGACTTCTCAACACCCTGCGGTTTTACAAGAGCAGTTTTCTTCACGGGCTGTTTACGCTGCTCCGCTTCAATTTCATTGCCTTTCCGTCCTTTCCGTTTCTCTCTTTATTTTTCACTTCCCGTGTTGGATTCCTCCCTTCAGCTGGCCATTGACATTTATTTTAATCCTTATGTTAATACTTATTTCAGTTATAGATTGAACTTTTATGTTTCTTGTTCATGATTTTCAAGGGAAATGAAACATTTTGTTGTATTTCTCTCTGCACAGTAACTCCATGGAAATGTTTTTCATTCATGTGGGCCTCTATGCGTTTTGTTATGCTTAAGCACGGGAATTATTTTGTCCATTTGATGGGATTTTGTCCCCCTGGGCTGAGAGTTGTAGTGAAAAGCGTCTTTTCAGTTGCTGATGTACGTCTGTGTGTGTGTAGCTTGCTCAGCCGTGTCTGCCTGCGACCCCGTGAACTGTAGCCCACCAGGCTCCTCCATCCAAGGGATTCTCCAGGCGGGAGTGCTGGAGTGGGTAGCAATTTCCTTCTCCACTGATGTCAGTCTACTTAGATCAGTTAGTTGCCAACTTGAGTTCAATACTGATGTGTGTGCTTCGTCGCTCAGTCGTGTCCGACTTTTTGCTAGGCTTCTCTGTCCATGGGTGTTCTCCAGGCAAGAATGCTGGAGTGGGTTGCCACATCCTCCTCCAGGGGCTCATCCCAACCCAGGTCTCCTGCATTGCGGGCAGTTCTAATCTAAGTGTAGGTTATTCAGGTAAGCCCTTGCATTTAGGGGTCTGTGAGTGTTATAAAATTTGCTGGTATTTGTCATGTCATTAGGTTTAGGAAAAAGCTTTCTGGAGTTTCTAGTAGTAATCATTATGACTTGGTAGTCTTATTTTTTTCTTCTCACAAAATGTCATTATTATATTCAATTATTTTCTTTCCTAGTTTTCCAGAGAGATGGTCATTCAGAGCCTATACATCTGTTCTATATTTTGATCCTTGGATGAGAATATTCATTCAGGCCAAAAGAGTTAGAACAAAATACCTATGCTATTGCCTCTACAAACCCAGGTAATTCACCTTCGTTCAATTGTGTTCATAGAGTTTTCATTTGTAAAATACCCCCGATCCCAATTGTTAATTTGATTGGAAGAGTTTTACAATGGCAAATAAAATTTGAACTTCATTCTGGAAGGTTTGCTGAAGAGTAATCATGTGAAACAAATATTTGGCCGTAATAGCAATGTGCTGTACTGAACACTCTCAGTCAGATGGTCCCCCTTGAGTAGGGATTTATTTATGGCACTGAATCCTAGGTGCTTTGATTGTGATAGGTTCTATTAAAAAAAAAATCACTTCTCTTACATTTTCTTTTTATACAATGTATTTGAACTATTTCATATACATATATGTATATGTATACTTTATATATAGAAAGAATATATGTATAAATGTGCATCTAATTCATTTATATTTTAGCATAAGCTTTTTTTAAGCTTATATTTGCATATTGTATAACTTACCTTGTACAACTGTGTGTGCAATCAAGACAGTATTTTTTTTATTGTGTGATATGTGGGTGACCATTCATTTATTTACTAAACATTTATCAAAACTTCTGTGAGTCTGAGATTGTGCTAGAAAGATAAGATTAAGTCTAGCTTTCAGTTCACTATCTACTGGGAGGAACATTTAATGCTTGTACATGTGTGTGTGTGTGTGTGTGTATAGATGCCCTTTGATATGCATTATTTTAGTTGACTTTTGCAGTGACACTGTGGGTTATGTTTTATCATTATTTAGAAATAAATAAATGTCAGAACTGGATAAGAACTCAAATTTTCTTACTCTGAATTCTTTATCAATTCAAATTCCATGCTGCTTCCCCAACAGCACACTAATTCTATATAATAGACCCACATTTGTTATGTTGTCTTATTTTCTTGCAAAAGTAGTTGCTATCCTGAGGCCTTGCAATCACTCATGTCAATATTGATATTAAAAATTGTGGATCTCTGAATTGAATGAGCTGACCACACACCAAAGGATTCCTCAAAAGCTTTACTTTTGATTTCTGATTATACTGCAGGTCATATTTTGAAAAATGAAGTATACGAAGCCTGACTTACTCTATAAATCTATTCATTCCCTAATTCATATCAAAGTGATACTTTTTTTCATCAGCCTCATTCTTCTGGGAAGTACCAAGAGTCTCCTGGATCAATCAATATAGCTGATCTTTTCAAATTAAATTATTTCTCACTTAGGAAGTTTGGGTAAAAAATGGTTTAAGCCAATGGAAAATGTGGGTTTGTCTCTATTTTCGGGGGGAATTTTATTAAATTGAATTTTGTCTACCTAAATTACTTAAATCAAGTGATGGCTGTTTCCCATCCTAGTGTATTTTTTAAATGCACATTTCAATGTACTATTTTTAGATATATCTTACCAGGAATAGATATAATGTAAATATTTATTTTATTCCTTAAAAGATACTTAAGAAGGCTTGAACCTTTGCCATGAGTCACACAGGGCTCTGATAAACTGTTAAATCTGATATTTGGTATCTCCAGTAAGGAAAGATTTAATTTTCCATGGCTTTATCCCTTAGGCTTAACTTTCTCTCCATTTGCCTTATTTACTTGCATATTATTTTCCTCACAGTTCTCTAGTGGCAAAAGTTTTATGTAAGAAATATGTGGAGTTCTGTCCTTGTTATCTCACCATTTGTGGGGTCACCCTTACTTTATTTCTTCCCTGAAAGGCACTCTATCTCTAATGGCCATATCAGAACAGATTAAAAGCTGTGACCCTATGTGACCAGAATAGAAACATTTAAAATATATTAAAAATGTTCATATACTCTGTCCACTTGGTCACCCAAGCTCCAGTATACTTCTGGAAATGAACACTGGATATTATTTGTAAGAATACATATCTATACATCAGTCATTTCTCTGTGCTTTTTTTGCAAACATGAAAAAGAACATTGGATTTTAGCTGTGTGTATTGAGCTTCAATTACTGTAGCTTCTTTACCCCAGCGTTTCTAACAAGGTAAAAGAGGGACTGAGGGGAATTTTTAATCTCTTAATCACATTCTGTTCAGTATGTTTATCAATAATTTGGATTAAAAGCAATTTTGAGTTCATAATTGACCCTTAACTAGGAGGAATATCTTATATCAGGCACAATATGGATATGAGTTGAAGTACAAAAGACAAACATAATATAAATAAGTACAGTCCTGAATTTAGATTTTAAAAATCTATTTGTGTTAATATATTAATACTAGACTGGATACTGATTTACATGGAAAAAACTAGGTATTTTCATTGACCACAAGCCTGATACAAGCTGATAGGATGATGGGGTTGGCTGAAACTGTTTATAGAACTTAGTGAACAGAACAAGATGTTAATAAACTGTGTCCAGCTAACACCATGTCTGGAGGGTGATGTTCAGATGAGGATGCTTTAGAAAGGAAGGGGACTTCCTGGCTCATAGTAAGGTAGTTATCCGGTAGGGGCTGATTAATGGAATTGAGCATCATGTTGTGAACAAGAGAAGATTAAGTGAAAACTTGAAAGGCTGCCGTGTGATGGTTGGAGTTCTCGAGGGCAGAACCTGAATGGCTGGGTAGAAGTAGAAGGCTAGCTCAGCATGAGAATGTTGTGCTGGTTTTTGGCAGAGACACACAGATGACTTTTCCACTGATGTTTAAGGTGAAGATACTCAGAGAAGCCACAGATCAGGGCCCCATGCAGCGTGCCTGCTGTCACTTTTGTCCCAGCGTTTCTCCAGGGCTGTGCTGTTCCGGAGAGCTGAAGGAACCGCCCAGGGTTGCTCAGGTTCCAGCTGGGCTCTGCTGACCTGACTTTGCCGTGTCTATTTAGTATTTGCTTCACAAAGGGTGGATTTTCCACCACCAGATTCAAAGCTTCCTTGTTGGACAGTCTGGGGACAGGAGAGTTTGGGAAGGTTTGATCCCTCACAGAGCTTCCTTTGATTGACCAGTCCCTGGTCCAGGTTAGCAGGTTTGATATCCAGAATACTCAATCCAGTATGTCCAGGATGGGAAGTTTAGTTTCTCAGACACATGACATAAGGTATAATACACCAACTCAGAGTTGCGTAAGGCACTCTCATTAATGAATCCGTGAAAGGCACTGCCATTCAAGATGAGGGCAAATTTGTCCCTGAAAGAGCCTAGATTGTAGAAAGAATTTTTGTTTAGGTAAGAATTTCAGCTAGGTGATTTCTTTACATTTTTCAGTGTAAAGATTTTAGGAGTCTTGGGGTCTTAAATATTGTTTATAATACAGACCGGCTAACGCATGACTGTGTTATTGGATCTTCAGCAACAGACGTTACTGATTTCCTTTGGCTTTGGATTCTTTGGGTTTAGTAGAGAAATAACTCTCAGATATATGCAGGCATTAAATCTCTGCACGTTAGGACTAAGGAGGGACACTTCTGAAAGCTCCTTAAGGGAGATGGAGCCAGAGTATCTATTTGAAGATCTCCATTCCTCATTGTCACTGCTTTGCTGTGGATTCATAGACTGAAAGGCACCCAAATGGTGTGGAGTTGGGGTCCCCCGTTTTCATAGGAGCAGCATGATCCTTTTGAAGATATTCAGGGACATTGAGTTTATGGTCTGCTGTTGAATATCCTGCAATGCTGTGCTTCTGGGACAGTCTTCATTTTTTAGGGATATTCCCCAGCTGTTCACCTCCTACCCACTGGGACAGACTAACAATGTTTAAAAGTGTCTCTTTTGTAAGCTGCACATCTTATGTATTCCTTCATGAGTTTGTTTTATCTTAAATCATTTAATCGTTCAATATCTGAAAGTGATTGAAAGCAAAATGTGGATCAGTGACACTTCGAGTTTTGATTTTGCCTTTCACTAGTTGTAGACCTTCAGCTATTGCTTAAACCTGACGCTTCTCCACTGTGTATTGAAAATTCCTCTCTCCCTCAGGGTGGCTGAAAGGATTAAAATAAAAATATGTTATCTTAAGCATAATGCTCAGCATAGTTCCCACACATTTGTGAGTAGAGATTCGTGGACTGAGGGGTTTTGGATGACTATTTTAGACAGAAAATTAGGGAAGTTACTTTTTTAAATAAAGAACTTTTGAGCAGATGGCTGAACAAACTGAGCAAGTGAATGTATCTAACCCTGTAGAAGCAAATCGCCTGCAGATTGAGTGACTCAATAATAAAGTAGCCATCTGTTATTGCTCGGTGTCTGTGGGTCAGTAATTTGATAGTGGTTTGGTAGGGTAGCTTTGTTTGGGGGTCCCCCATGAAGTTGACGAGAGATTTTGGTCAGGGCTGCTATGGAGCTTGATGGGAGGTAAAAGGACCCTTCCAAGCTGGCTGGCTCCCATGCTGGCCGGCACTCTGGCTCCACTTTACCTCGACCACTGCACCAGACTGCATGAGTATCTGTGCAAGGATTGCTTTTCACTGGAGCGTGCAGCTCAAGAGAACAGAGCAGGAGCCGCAGTCTTTTCAACGCTAGGCTTGAGTCATCCACCATCACTTGTCCCCTGTTTTGGTCATGCAGATTCAGTGTGGGAGGGGACTCCACAAAGGCCTGCACACCAGGAAGTAAGAACCATTCGAGGACAGCTTGGAGGGTGGATTCCACTGCGAGTCATGGAAGAATTTTATGGGCTGATGTTCCCAGGACGGGGAGAACAGCTCGTAGAGGCAGGGGGCAAGGAGAGCAGGGCCAGAGAATGGTGGTTGCGAAGAGGCGAGGAAGACGGCGACGGGGTCTGTAGGGCTAGACCAAAATGGTTACAAGAGAATTTGTATTGAGACTGTAAAGTCTTTGGAGAAGAGTGACATTACTTAATTTATTATTTTAGATTACTTTGGCCGCTTAGTGGAGAATTGATTTTATGGGGCAAAAAGGGAGGAAGGGAAATTCATAGAATACCATTGCTATGTTCTAGGTGAGAAATTACAGTGGCTTGAGCGGAGGTGGTGATGGTAGAAGTGATGAAACATGTTTAGATTATCTTTAGATTGCAAAGACAAGAGTCCACAGGACCTGCTCACGGATTGGATGTGAGGTGAAGACAGGAGCCATGGAGGCCTTCTGATGTCACGGGAGGTGCACGTGTGGGGTCAGGGAGAGTGGTGATGGGGCTCTTCCCACGTGTACTGGACACGCTAAGTTTGACAAGTCTATCTGACACCCCGGTCTCACTGTCAACATCACACTAGCCGGAAAATTCTTGATCATTCCTCATTAGATGTTTTGATAAATAATGTAGGACTATAACTATTTTATAGTATAACTAATCAGGCAGACTTGTACTTAAAATAATTATGGTTGTGAGTACTATAATGTTGTGATTCATCACTGTGGGCTGATTTTTTTTTTTGCATAATTAGAAGTTTAGAACTTTAATTTTCTTGCAGTCTGTTTTTTCAACTTAAAATTTAAAAAATACTTCGTTTTGTATTAGCCAACATGTTTTGGACCAATATTGTAAGTATGAGCATTAAAAACCAATGAAGATTTAAATTTTTGCAGGTGATTCTGATTAAAACTGTCACTCAAAGTGCTGTATTATGCTACAGTCTATAGTTTTGCCACATAAAGTCTTAAAAATTACTCAATATTTTTTCATATTTTGATTTCTCTTTAGGGGTTTATTTCTCTCTAGGGGGTGTGGTTCCTTTTGCTCCTAAAATAGTAGAATTTGTTAATTAAAACTCAAACAGGGGCTTCACTGGGGTAAGAATCTGCCTGTCAATGCAGGGGACATGAGTTCAATTCCTGGCCAGGGAAGGTCACACATGCCGCGGGGCAACGAGGCCCACGTGTCACACTGCTGAGCCCACACACCACTTGCCGCACCTGGAGAAAGCCCGTGCATAGCAACAAAGACCCAGCGCAGCAAAAAAATTAAATTAAAAAAAAACCTAACAGTACAGAGTTAGATACTGGAGAAGATCAGAGAACTAAAAGCCCCCTTTTCCACTTGTTGTCACTCTCTGCTCTGGCTATCTGTAATCTCCCCAAAGCAGAATCTCTGCCTGGAGTTAATAAATACCCTCCCAGATCGTCTTCTGCATATTTACATACAATGAACCACACATACAGGTTTTAAACATAAAATCATATGTAACTCTTTTTTAATTCACCAGCGGGCTCTTGGCAGCCTTTCTTGGGCACTGTTAGATACACTGCCCAGTGCTCCGTGGGGAACTGCTCGCTGGTGTGTGGTTAGGTTTTATGGCTTTCTCTGTGTGTGAGTCGCTCAGTCGTGTCTGACTCTTTGTGACCCCATGGACTGTAGCTTGTCAGGCTCCTCTGTGCCCGGGATTCTCCAGGCAAGAACACTGGAGTGGATTGCATTCTCTTCTCCAGGGAATCTTCCCGACCCAGGGATGGAACCTGGATCTCCTGCATTGCACCAGGTTCTTTCCCATCTGAGCCACCAGACAGTAAAGCAGCGTGTTCATGGTTACAGTGCTGAGTCGGATATGCTTGGGCATCATTTGACATATGCACATTTATGCTCAAATATGGTTATTTCTGTAGAACAGATTACAGAAGTAAATTATGAGTCAGAAGATAGACACACTGCTAATTTTGAGGGGTCCTGTTAATTTACCCTCCAAGAAGTAGAGACCAATTTATTTTTACACCAACAGTTGTGTAAGTGAGCTTTTGTGTGGTTCCAAATCCATATGTGTTATTAATAGCATTTTCTTATTTTATTTTTTCCATTCTAAGGAATAAAACTTTTATTATTTATTTTTTATTGTGTTAGTTTTCGTTTTCCCTCAATACTTTTCATTGACCTTATGTTTTTAAGAACTTTGAGAAAGAAAATATTCAATAAATTGATTTATGTAAAAAGTGGACATAAGCAAAACATTTGAATGAATTTCATTGATGGAAGAAAGTAGGGACGTAGAAGGTGAAATGTGTGAGGAGGAGTAGAGACCTAAAATGAGGCAGAATGAGGCAAAGAGAGAGAAGGCAGAAGTAAAGAGAAAACAGAGACCACAGCCCCCAGTGTGGGCAGAAGTCATGTACATTCAGAGTTTGGGAGATGGTGTCGCAGCCATTCTAACCACTGAGAAACTGGCAGCCCAGTTCTAGGGGGGACAGCACTCCCTTGCAGGGAGCGTCGCAAGGACTACGGAGTCGAACTGGATGGATTCTCTCCCTTTTCCTCTGGTATTACTCTGACCCTCAGAAGCATTTTATCTTCAAGAGTCCATGAATAGGGAAAAGTTATGTGTGAGGCTGATGGGGGCTTCTGATGATGGATGGGGATTTGAACAAAGATTCATTCTGTTATGAGGACAGGCAGATTTATTACTGGATTTAAAAAATCACATACATTTGGTAGCTTTCTTTAATTGTTGTGAGCAGTGTGTGTGTATGTGTGTGTGTGTGTGTGTGTGTGTGTGTTCGTCACTCAGTCGTGTCTGACTCTCTGTTACCCCATGCACCGCAGCCTGCCAGGGTCCTCTATCCGTGGAATGATAAAATTTAAACTCTCATCTGAGATGTACACAGCATCTGAGACCAGGTTATCTCAATGACCCACGCCATGAACAGAGAGCATCTTTTTTGTCTTTATTGCTTAAAATTAAGCACTAATGCACAGCTGGCACCTTTTATGCCACCTATATTTTCTTGTCTCTAAATATGTAGTCTCTAAAAATGCTTGAGTAGTGTAATTCACATCAAATTTGAAGGATCACCTCATTGTCCAGTTTCTCCTTAATTTCACTTTGATTTTTTAAATAAAGATTTGATTAAGTGATTCAAATAAAAATAATTATGTGATTAATATGTGATTTTGTTTTAAAAAGCAAATGATAATTCCAGTATATAATGATCAATGACTTCCTATTTTAAAACTTAGGTTGTTCTTTAAATGTAACAGAGACTGATTTGAAATACACCTTGGTTATGACTTAAATGAACAATGTTTGTTGTAAAAGAAAATCAAGGGAACCAATTGAGAACTGCTTCACCTTAGGTTTTTAAGAGTGTTCCTTTCTTGTACTAACTGTGTAAATCTTCTTGGAAACTGAACATTGAGGTCAGAGGTGAAGATACATAGTTATTATAACTCGAATAGTTCATTAAACCATTGCAGTAGATGGATTTAGGATGGCATTTATGAGGATTTTTTTGTTTTTATTAATTCTTTTTAGCATTAAGCCTTTTTATGTAGGTAATTAGGCATGCTTCCATAAGTTTTTCAGATTTTTAAAAGAAAAAGAACTGATTCAACTACTCATTTTATTTCATATTCCCAATGTATATTATCTCTAAAATACACACTAATATTTCCTCTATACCATACATCTAATGGACACAACTTATAAGGTGTTTATTAGATAAAGCACATTCTATTAAGTCAATTTGCTGTGAACCAGCGTTATTCTAAGTTCTTTATCTTTAATTCTCCTAGCAGTCCTGTGAGACAGACATCATTATTTTTCTCTCCGTTTACAGATAAGGAAATGGAATCACAGAAAATGGAGTCATTTGCCCAGTCTGTTGTAATTTGTACTCCTAGTAAGGGACACACAGAGGCCTTTGACCCAGATAGAAGGGGCTCCAAGTAGCCCAGATCTTGATTAATCATGATGGTGTTCTGTCCAGAGTATATATGTACAGCCTCTGTTGAAATAATGGAAGAGTCTTAAAACAAACAGACCCCAGCTAACAGCCATGTAAATTATGTGTGACCTGTTTGTATTGTGAAGAATTTGCACTACTGCTTACATTGCTTAAAAACCAGAGCATGGAAAAGCAAGCTCTTATTCAAAACCCACTGATACTGGCCTGGATTCTAGGGCTGGTCAGCTTTTTCTGTAAAGGGCCTGAGAATAGATATCTGGACATATTCTGTCTCTTTTGCATATTTTAATTTTTTCCTTTTTTTTAACCCTTTAAAATGGGGGGTGGGGGGTGGAAACAAAGCATTCTTAGGTCTTAGGCTATAATAGAAACAAGCTGCTGGCTTACATTGGCCCATGAGCAGTATTTTGCCTATCCCTGGCATAGATTCATTGGGCATATATATATTAATATATTTAGACTCTCTCCTCTGAATGAACTAATTCCTCTTTTTATATGTCTTAATGTTTTGGCTTCAAAAGATGTTTTAGAATTCTCCATCTACCTCTCACTGCCTTTCTAAACCTTGCCTTATCAGAGAATTATAAACTTCTGAGTCTACATGGATATGAGAGGCAAAAGTTATAGAATGAAGTATACAGAGCTTTGAGTATTCTTAGACCAAATATTGATCTGGAGTTTTTCTCTCTATGATGATTTAAACCAGCATTTAAAATCCTTATTCCAGGAATCCTCTATTATAAAAAACATAGTTTCAACTGCTTTCAGAGAACCTCTGATTCTGCAGAGCCTTTCTCATCTCTATTTTGCTCAGTCTGAGTGAGGAAAAAATATATATACATTTCTTTCTCCGTGATTGTTCTAGAGTGTCTTTGTTTTCAGTAAAACCCTGAACCTTGAAAACGGGCTTCTTGAGCAAAAAATTAGAAAATATGTTTTAGTAGTTTAAATTGATACATTAATGTGTGTTTTTTGAGCATTTCAGTTAGAGAGAATTGTTTATGGACAGAGAAAAGCAGTTTACCCAGTCTCAATGATACTCTGGGTAAGAAGGATGGATATATTAACCAGAAATTTTGATAATGAAGCAGTTCATGTAAAATTTTCTTTTTAAGAAAACTATCACACTTTACATGTTCAAGTGAATATTTGTGTGGGCAGAGATTTTCCTCTCTCTCTCCTGCACTTTCCCTACAGAAACAAAATTGCTTAGTATTACAAAGCAAGGGATTTTTCTTAGTTATAAACTTTGCTGATTTAACAGCTGAATGTACCTTACTTGATGAATTTTTCTTAATAATAATGTATCTCTGGAGTATATAGTCTTCTTAGAGAATATTTTTGTATTGTGAACTTTAAAATGATAATCTGACTTGATTATGTCCTTTCCTGTTTTTTTTCAGAAAGTATCTGTATGTCACATCTTCTTTTAAAGGAGCATTTAAAAGTGAAGTTAAAAAGGCAGAAGAAGCAGTAAAGAGAGGTATGTAATTACTTGTGGCCTGTGTCATTATTGTTATATGGCCTCCATCATTATTGTCCATTTATTCAGCAAACATTCATTGAGCAATTATTCTGAGGCATATGCTGCACTGTGTGAATCACAACAAACTGGAAAATTCTTAAAGAGATGGGAATACCAGACCACCTCACCGGCCTCCTGAGAAACCTGTATACAGGTCAGGAAGCAATAGTCAGAACTGGACATGGAACAACAGACTGGTTCCAAATCCAGAAAGGAGTACGTCAAGGCTGTATATTATCACCCTGCTTCTTTAACTTATATGCAGAGTACATCATGAGAAACGCAGGGCTGGATGAAGGACAAGCTGGAATCAAGATTGCCGGGAGAAATAGCAATAACCTCAGATATGCAGATGACACCACCCTTATGGCAGAAAGTGAAGGANAGACAGAATGCTATACACAATCTGTCCTCCCACAAAAGGACAAAGTCATCCTTCCCCAGTGATCCAGGAGTGAGGAGTAGCTTTGAATCCATATTTCATGGATTTTAGAGAGTTTCAGTCAACCAGTCAGTCAGTCATGACTTTTGAATTTGTGTGTATGTGTATAGGTGGCTCAGACATAGCCAGCCCACCTGCATTGCAGGAGATGGTGGCAGGAGCCAAAGGTTTGATTTCCAGATCAGGAGGAGGAAATGGCAACCCACTCTAGTGTTTGGGAAACCTCCTGGACAGAGAGAGCCTGGTGGGCTACAGCCCATGGGGTTGCACAGAGTCTGACATGAGTTGGCAGCTAAACAACAAGCGTATGCTCTGTAAGCTGTCATGCCTGAGAGGACACTCTATACAGCTACCTAATCTTTACAGTGGAGAACTGTAGCAGGAATATAGAATTTCCTGAAGTTATTATCTGTAAGCCATTCTTACTGGTCATGTATGCATTATGTATATGCAATGTTAATTTAAAGATGTTTGAAAGAATTTTATTTCATTAAATTATCTTGCTTCTGTTTCTAGCCGAACTCATCCTGAAAGAAGCACAAATCAAAGTGAACTCCTCTGAGAGCACTTCGTCCTCCGCCGCCGAGGTGTGACATTCGGTCTTCTTCAAGGGCAAACAGGGTCATTGCTTTTTCCTGTATATAGTTGTCTCTTATCACTTACTTCCTAACCTTTAAACAAGCTGAGGAGATTGAGTTCGTTTTAACACAAGATAAACAGATGAGTGCAGAGAAAGGGGAGGAAATTCAGGAAGTCGGGGAGAGGCTGAGATTGGGAACAAAGATGGAACGAAACATGGGTGAATTGGGAACAGCGGGGAAGGGCATCACAACTTGTTTCTTTAAAATGAAGGGAAGAGTGTAAAGAAAGGGAGAAAATAATGCAAAGCTAAAAGAAAAAACCAGCCTATCATGTCTCCCTGAAAATATCTCTTCAAATTATAGCTCCCTATGGACCTAAATGAATGGGGAGAGCAAAGAGAACACTAATAAGCAATCCTTCTTTCTATTGCCAGGAGTTATATACTATAATTATGAATATTAATGACAATGCTTGCAGCTTGCAAAGCTTTCTTATGAGTTATTCCACACAGTTCATAAACATTCTCTGTAATCCTTGCAATATGCCCATGAGTAAGATAGGTTATAAAGAACTATTATTATTAATTACAATACATAGCAACTAAGAGAAAAAGAATGTTGCTGCAGGACATGTTAAGTTTGCTAACTTTTACCAAGAATACGATACCAGACTTTCTACTGTAGTGCATATTTGTCATTTGGCGTATTTCTTTGCCTGCACGGGGTAAGGAGTTATTTGGAGGAAAAAATGCTTTCCTTCGCCCTTCCTTCTTCCTCTTCTGCAGTCTCCGTGTAGGAATTCTTTCTGTAATTTGCTCTTAAACTTTCAAGGACCAAGGCTGTGTGAGGAAGAGCTCTCGTATCTAACTGTCATGAATATGGGTTGAAATCAGAGAGTAGCATGTGGTAATTCCCCAAAGTGCTCCATGGATTTCCCAAAACTCTTTTACCTTTTTCTTTCAACTTTTTTTAAGGTAAATATAGACCCATCTTATTGTTACAGATTTTTTAAAGAGAAGTTTAAGCTTTATTTTGTCTCTAAAAAAAAATCAATTTCCTTTGCTTATGTATCTGCCAGACGAGAGAAACAGACGCTTTCTAACGGGTCAGGGCCCCCCTTTCTTCCTGCCGAGCCTGTTGGCTCTCACCGCCCCTCTGCTCTCTGCTCTAAGTCCATTGACGGGAAGGGCGGGGACGTCTTTGAGCAACTCGCTCTGTTGCCCTGATGTGCCCGGACTTCAACTCAGAGAAGAGAGCTGAGCAGAACGACCTCAGCTTTTGACCTCTGAAATTCCTCCAGGCAGTTGAGTGGTTGAATTTGAAGTGAAATACTTACCAAGCATTGACCATTTTCTTTTACAAGTCAGTGAAAATAGGTTCACTCCATGGTCTGCCCATCAAATGAGATGCCCAGCTCTCACATCAGGTGGATGGAGCACATTGAAAGTTTGTTCTTATTTGTGAAATAGTGACGATGCATTCTTTCTTTTCTGCCTGACTGGAGGGAAGCTACTAGAGATAGAGTTGTGAATGAGCTGATATATCAAGTTAGAAGAAAAGAAAGACAGGCGGGCGCTGTTATTGAGGCACTCTGAAAGGGAGAAAATCCAGGGATGGGATATCCTATAAGGGGAAAGTTTGGGGAGTATTAGTGAGGACTGTACGGAACTTGAGATAGAGGAGACATTTTCCTTTTTGGCTTTTGATAAAATTTTGTAGTCACAATTTCTCTTTTTCCTGAAAAAGGCCTTAGTGATGGATCACATGATGAATGAAGCGTTGTCCATTCTCACAGAGGCCAGGCACACGGAATGACTTTCCCAAGCTTTCTCGTTGTTTGTGCGAAAGCCACCGGGCCTTTAACGGGAGCAGTGGCTGTTTCTCTAAGACAGAGAGGACACTGGAATATCCTCAGAAAGAGAACTGCGGGCTTGGATTTGGTTTGTCTTCTTAGTTATTGGAACTTCATATCTATCGACTGTTTATTGAGTGTTTGCTGTGGTAGAATTGCATTACGCAGTGTGACCTATCACTGTTACCCTTGTGAAACCTCTGGATAATAGGATAGTAAATACCAACTCAGCTCTCATTAATTTAATGGCATTATGTTCTCTCCTAACCAAATGTACTTTTCTAGGATGTATTACAGAAAGCTCTGGAAGATGTGAAAGCAAAGCAAAAGATTCTTCAAGAGAGGCAGAGGTAAGACAGGAGATCTGTTTGCTGGAACCCTCTGCACTGTGTTAAACAAAGTCTGATTTCACTGCAGACAGATTTGGTGATTGTTATGACAGTTTCTCTCCCTTAGCCTGTGACATTTTATGATGAAGAAGTGAGCTTCTCAAGGGGTCACCTGGCAACTTCACTTTTTCTATGTCCTTTGCTATTTGAAATCTGAATGGTTAGTCCCAGTTTCTTCCATCTTCCAGTACTGCTTTCAGTTGAAGATGGATGATACTTCAGGTATAAGTGTCAGCTTATATACGATTAAGAATAGTGAGCCTGTATTCAAAGCCATTGTTTGCATCGGTAAGGTTGACTTGCTGTCCCGCTCAGGTGTTAAACAAATTAAACTGAAAATAATAGCTATTGTGCAAGTTAAGCCAGATTTTGAAAACTGTGGTAACTTTTAGAAACAAATTTTTAGGGAAATGTTACTGGTTTTCAGCATTTTTTGGTATGTGTGAACTGTGACGTGCTGTATAACCGTGTGTGTGTCAGTTGCTCAGTTGTGTCCGACTCTTTGCAACCCCATGGACTGTAGCCCACCAGGCTCCTCTGTCCATGGAATTATCTAGGCAAGAATACTGGAGTGGGGTGCCATTTCCTTCTCCAGGGGATCTTCCCAACCCAGGGATTGAACCCAGGTCTCCTGCATTGCAGGCAGATTCTTCACTGTCTGACCAGCAGGGAAGCCCACTATATAACCATAACTTTCCTCACAACTTAAATTTGAACTGTTAATTATGCATGTATCAAAATAAATAATGAATAACTGCCATAGGATTCTTTACTGAAAAGCAAGGGCCACTTTAAAGTCTTCAGAAATAAAGAGCTGGTTGATGATGTTTTTGTTATCACAATGATAGACATAAAGGGTGAGCAACCTATATTTTATAATAATGCTAGTTGGGGTGAACTTGTTTTTATAGCAAAATGCTTTTTTTTTTAATTTGAAGACAATCAGTATGACATATTGTAGAGTGATTATGTCATACCCTCTAATATTCTGTTTTGAGGTTCCTTACAAAATCAGTATTCTTTTTGGTTAAAGAGTAGGAATCTAATTATAGAGTAGACATTTTTGAGAAAAAGTTTGATTCATATATATTTAACCCTACATGTTTGTGCATTTAAAAATACATTATATATTAATTCATGTCAGTAGCTCCCTCAGAAAGTCTAATGTACTCTGTCATTACATCCATAGAGAAGGACAGCTGAAGCTTTATTATTGTCCTTTAATGATAGATACAGTTAATCAGTCCAGCAAGTATATTATATTAGTTGTAATAGCCCGTGATCATGAATTTGAAAAGAAAGAAGCTGTTTCTGAGGAATGAGGAGAGCTACAGGATGAGTGGAGGGAAAGAACTACATTTGATACCATTCTTGGTGGAAAAGGAGAATGACATTTGCCAGGCACCAAAAGTCTTCCAGATTCATGCTGAATATCATCTCTTTTAATCCTCATGGCATCCCAAGTGGCTAGACAGATATAATTCCCATTTTTCAGACGAGACGAAGTGTTGAAGTGGCTCATCCATAGTCATATGGTTATTTCAAAGATGAGCTTGTACTTGAAGTCGCGCCCCTCTTTCTGGTTCTTACATGAAAGTGCTTTTCCTGCTCCTATGACTTAATCTTGCGTATTCTGATGTCTCTTAATTTCTGCTTTTATACTTTTAATGCAAATGTCACATAAAACATAGTACAGCAGAGTCAGAAAAACAGAAGCTGTTTTCTTTGTAAACTTGCTTCATTACCTTTGATTTACTTTTGAATTTGGAAAAGGAAAACTGAAGAATATCTTTTGGCACATTCCAATCTGTGTAGGTCAGGAAGCAACAGTTAGAATTGGACGTGGACCAACAGACTGGTTCCGAATAGGAAAAGGAGTACGTCAAGGCTGTATATTGTCACCCTGCTTCTTTAACTTATATGCAGAGTACATCATGAGAAACACTGGGCTGGATGAAGNTGAGTCACTGGAAAAGACCCTGATGCTGGGAAAGATTGAACGCAGGGGGAGAAGGGGACGAAAGAGGATGAGATGGTTGGATGGCATCATCGACTCAATGGACATGAGTTTGAGTAAACTCCAGGAATTGGTGATGGACAGGGAGGCCTGGTGTGCTGCAGTTCATGGGGTCACAAAGAGTCAGACACGACTGAGCGACTGAACTGAACTGAACTGAACCTGTGTAGATATTGGGAGGTTTGAGAACATGCTGAAAGTTACATATCACATTCAGTGTTAGAAATACCTACATTTTCACATAGATCATCGTTTTTTCAAAAATGCTGCAATGTACATATTAGACCAGTTAATGTTTCACAGTTCCGCTGCACTTTCTAGTTCTTACAAATTTAAACTGGCAAACTCATTTGTGAATCAAGGAATGCTTATGTTTGACTGGTATGGTTATTGTCGATCATGTTTATGCAGAATACTTGGCTATAGAGATATACTTGAATGCGCCAACTAGGTTTTGCAAAATACCTGGATATTATATACATATATATATATATATATATATATATATATACACAGTTCCTTTGATATTTATCTTCTGAGTTATTATTAGCTTGTAAAATGTCTATTTTTACTTAATTATTTTTTTTTAACTTTCTAAATGTGATGCTAGGGAATTAAGAAAAGCAAGGACACTCACCCTGTTCTTTGGTGTGAACATAGAAAACCGAAGCCAAGCTGGGATGTTCATTTACAGTAATAACCGCTTGATCAAAATGCACGAGAAAGTGGGCCCACAGTTGAAACTGAAGTCCTTGTAAGTATGTTTTTGTTTTCAGAGGCACAGGCAGGATGAGAGAAGATGTGGTAGGATCCTGTCTGTGGAGTTAGATGAGTAATTAATCATAATGGGAGCAGGTGCCGTGTCCCCCATCCACCCTTCCCATCACTGTGCAGGCATTCATCTGCCTAATTTATAATATCAGTAGGATCGCATGCCTGCTCTAAAGAAAAAGCACACTTTTGGAAATTTTACTATTTCTTATGCCATCTACTCGGTTAAAGTTGCTGATATTTCTCCAATTAAAAAATAATGCAAGCAGAGTAAAGAAATTGTAGAAAAGAAAAATCCATAGTCTTGTAACACAACCCTTCCAACATTTTGTGTAGCCCCAGCATGCATGAGTTCCTGCCAGGCACCTGCATGAGCGTATATTCTTAGCACTCGCCAGCCTGCCTGGATCCAGAGGAATGCATTCTGCTGCTTTCCCGGTGGTCGGTCTGAAGCTCCACAAGCTGCTGTCGTGAATTACGCAGAGCCCTGAAGAGAGACTGTAGAAAATTACAAAATCAGACAGGATAACCATGAGCAGTAGGATGGCTCAGGGGAACATTTCTTCATCTTGTCCCCTCACTCTCAAGGAGATCATGATTCACTCATGGGTTTATTCAGCAAGCACTAGTATTACAGGACCGTGTGCCAGGCCCTGTACTAAACTCTGCAGACAAAATGGTGAAGACCTCCTGCCTTTTGCTAAGGAACCTATAGTCCAGTGAGAAGGACAGGTGTATTCATATGGATTTTTTATATTGTGTGGAAACAGTGAGAATGATCTTTTAAAATACAAATTAGTTTACTCTCTTGCTTTAAATCCCAGTGCATGTAGAATAGCACTGGTTTCATATTCTGCCAGTGATCTGGCTTCTGCCTGGCTCTGGGACACCCGCTCCAATACCCACCCTCTGACAGCATTCCTTGCACACCGGCAGGCATCTTCTTTCTCAAACATCCTAAACTCGTTTCTGCCTTTGGGCCTTGACATTTGCTGTTCCCTCTGCATTGAACTTCTGTCCTCAGATCTTCTTACTGACGGTCCTAGCATGTTGCTCAGGCATCAGCTCTGAAGTCTGCTCCACAGGAAGGTCTTTTTGGACTATTTAATTAAAATTAGCCTCTGACATCTCTCCTTCCACCTTATCTCTCTTCACATATTATGGCACCTGCTGTATTTTGCTTACACCGCTTACACCTTCTGAAATTATCTTGTCACCCGTAATGGCTTTCAGCCTTTAATAGAAGAGAAGCCTCATAAACAGGGACCTTATCTTCTGTATTCATAACGTATTCCTGGTTTCTGGAATGGGACCAGGTGCTGAGCATGAATGAATTGATAAATGAACAAACAAATATCTGTTATAGGCAAGGACCAGGTGCAAAAAGAGCCTCTTAGGAGGGGCAGTGAACCAAACCTGGGAAAGTTAAGGTAGGTCTCCTGGAAGAAATGATGCCCAAATTTAGGCTTCCAGAATGACTAGTTGAAGGAAGGGCAGGGTGGAAAGGGAAAGTGATGGAAAACATGATGGAAAGCCCCAATTTGGGAAGGCACGGCCTGTAGGCCAGTTGCAGGCAGCAGGCGCTGGGAGCCCCGAAGAGCCCGATTTCTGGACACCTTTTCCCCACACAGGTTATAGCACTCAGCAGAAGAGCCCAGCCACATCCATCATAAGCTGCTGAAATGTGAAAAAGAAATCGAGTTTATCCATCAGGCTATTCCTTTCTCAGATAGTACAGCCTGTATATCCCCTTAATAGATGTCACTGAGCACCCGTGGACCTCTGCAAACGTGGGGAGAAATCCAGCCTGACGGGGAAACAAGGGTGGAAAAAAGCGACTGCTGGCCTGTGTTGTTGAGAGGACTGTGGCAGTTTATCTCTGCAAGGGATTGTTGGGGGTGTTTACTGCTTCACGGCCTCATTTTCCTACTCACCCTGCCTTCCCCTGTCAGATTATAGGTTTAGAAAAGGAGTCATATTAATTCAGTAATGACATATTAAGAGATTTTGTATTATGGGACCAAACAAAACTGGAATGACCATACACTTACATTAAAAAGTACAGTTACAACTTGTTAACTTTGACATGCTTTGGACTGAATGACTGAATTTATTTTTTTAATTGATTTTGAAAGATGAATACTAGCCTTTTCTGTTTTCTTAGCTCAATTTCACATAATTTATATATGTATTTATTCTTCCAGACTTGGTGCAGGTGTGGTTGGAATTGTTAATATACCCTTGGAGATCATGGAACCATCCCATAATAAGCAGGAATTTCTCAATGTCCATGAGTATAATCATCTTCTAAAAGTCATGGGGCAATACTTGGTCCAGTACTGTAAGGACACCGGGATCAGTGAGTATTCAGCAGCCATGATAAGAGATGCTTAATGGGGGTTAAATTGATGATGTCCATAAGCTGGAATGATTGTACGGATTCAGAGAAACAGTAACCCAAAAGCCTGAAAGAGAGCACCCGAATTAATAAAACGAAGGGGAAATAGGAAAGAGGTTAGTCTCAGAATCTTCTCTAGAATGTTACGTGAAAAATAAAGCAGCAGATTAAAGATTATTAGAGGAGGGCGATCAGAGAGCAGTATGCAGCGGCAGCTGGTCATGTAGGAAGGGGGCAGAAGTTTGCTGGAAATAAGCTGAGAACCACCCAAAGGACACTCTCGGACTCCACTGTATAGGAGTGCAGAGTCCCACACAGACCTAAGCAGCTCCTGTTGTTGTTATTCAGTAGCTACTCTTTGCATCTCCATGAACTACAAGGCTTCCCTGTCCTTCACTGTCTCCTGGAGTTTGCTCAGACTCATACCCATTGAGTCGGTAATGCCATCCAACCATCTCATCCCCCTTCTCCTCTTCCCCTCAGCCTTTCTGTAGAGTGATCATTGTTGACCCTGAATAATTGCAGATATGTTAAACCTTGTTTTGTATATCTGACAATTCTCAAATATGTTAATTATAGAAAGATTTAGAAGAAAAATCACTATGTACACTTGGAAATGTAAAAAGATAAACTGAACTTATCTAGAAAATCTGATTTATTCAGATAACCTCACTATCCAGAGACGTCTGACAATGAAGTGGTATGATGATGATGAGTGATTCATTCGCTCAGTTGTGTCTGACGCTTGCAAGTCCATGGACTGTAGCCTGCTGGGCTCCTCTGTCCTTGGAATTCTCCAGGCGAGAATTCTGGAGTGGGTTGCCATTTCCTTCTCCAGAGGATCTTCCCGACCCAGGAATCAAACCCAGGTCTCTTGCACTGCAGGCAGATTCTTTACCGGCTGAACTATGAGGAAAGCCACATGAAGTGGTGTGCTGTGTGTTAATTAAGCTCCCTTTAAATTTTGCAGACATACTGCTTCATTTATGGAGAGACATAGGCTACTGTGTATTCATTCAGTGAATTGCACGAAGTATGTATAATTCATGCATATCAAAAATTATGTTCTACCTTTGAGACAACTTAAAATCTTATTATTGTTTCACTTGAAGTTGTAATTTTAGAATATATTTTTCTCTTTTGTGCCTACTCTGCTTGGTCCTGAAATTGTCTCATACCGGTCAAACAGGAAAGAGTGAAAGAACTCAGGGGAAAAAAATATGAAGGTGGGAATGACATTGAGGGTGTTAATTTCCTGCCAGTGCTGGATTTCCCTGTCATAGTCTAAAGCCTCAGAGTGTGGTCTGTGGACTAGCAGCATCGGCATCACCTGAGAGTTGGTGTACATGCAGAATCTAAGGCCCCACCCAAGACCTACTGGATTAAAATCTGCATGTTAGCAAAGTCTTCAGGGGATGTGAACACACAATAAAGTTTGAGAAACACTTCTCTGAAGAGTACGTGCATGTTACTTATGCTTAGCAAAGGCATACTTTTTCACATGTATTCTTTTTTCTCAGAGACACGTTTGAAGTTATACTGAATGTAGGAAAAACTCCGTTATTTGGCAGGGTGTGCTTGAAGCTGTATAAAAGATTGGAAGATACGGAGTGAGGTTGTATAAATAAATCAGTGATCTACTCACTGGTCTTTAAATGCTCGCGTAACATGGTCCAAAAAGAAAATGTTAAGCGTTTGAAAATTATGTAACTTCCTCCATCCTCATATTTTCTCTATAATCCCTTCTTTGTCCTTCTTATCCTTATCTTCGTTCCATTGTTAAGTTGTGTCTGACTCTATGGCCCTGTGAACTGCGGCACACCAGAGTTCCCTGTTCTTCACTAACTTCCAGGGTTTGCTCAAACTCATGTCCATTAAGTCGGTGATGCCATCCAGCCATCTCATCCTCTGTCGCCCGCTTCTCCTCCTGCCCTCAATCTTTCCCATCATCAGGGTCTTTTCCAGTGAGTCGGCTCTTTGCATTAGGTGGCCAACGTATTGAAGCTTCAGCTTATCCTTAGAATAAAGAATTAAGTCCTCAGAAGGAATTAGGCATTCAGTTTAAAGATTATAGGGATGATTTCAGTCCAGCCCAGATTTGCTCATGACAGTCATACGCAGCCCTGATTTTGGGGGCCCTCTCTGGAAGTTCATTTGTCTGGAGTGTGCGTGCCCTCCCAGCGTGGTATCATCAACCCCACCGAGTGTGACTGGCCAGGTTTCTCCCCTCTCTGTAGCTTCCTATCCCTGTTTTATCTACCTAAACTTTCAAAGTCTTCTCAACAGAAGATGTAGTATGATTCAAAATAAGTAAGTTATATTTGTATGTTAAGCACTAATGGTTAAAAACATATTGATGTCCTACTTCCATAATTGTCCATGAATGGAGTTAGGGCTAGAGGTTGCTCTCACAAAAGATGTTCCTCTAGAAAGAAAGCAGAGAGTGGAGAAAGGACAGTGAGCACATGCATTTCCTCACATATCTCACAACTTCGTCCCCAGACTTCAGTACCAAACCGAATCAAATAGTCAAGGTCAGAATTGGTAGTCTCAGGAACTGTGTTGAGGAGATTGACCTTCAAGGTCTCTGCTTATTAATTCCCACAGGAAGAAGCAAAGTTATGTAATGCTTGACTAATCCTCTGAAAGTCGATATTACAGTCACACGATTTTGATGAAAAGTATTTGGGTAGATTTTTAACCTTATAAATAAAAGATGCAATTTTTGTATTTGCTGTAAATCTGATCTGTTTCTATGGAAAATTGGGCCCTTGTATTTAAAAATCCAATCAGCATAAAAGGAAATGGCGAGGCAGTGATTTTGTGTCATTACTCAGATCTGCATTTACTCTTGGCACAGCTGATGCTAAGAATCTCAGAAGTCTTCTCGTTTCTGTGTCTGTCCTGACATCGCTGTCTGCTGCTGTGTTTTCTGAAATTTTAGACATCCTTACAGTAAAATGGAAATATTAATCATCAGCTTTTTGGAAGGGAGAGAGAAGGAGAAGGAAAAGATAGGGAGAAATAGCAAATGAAATTTGAATTTGAACAGAAGTAATTACATGGAAATGTATCACTAAAATTTTTCAAAACAGATCAGAATGTAGCTGATCAGCTAAAATGAAATTTATGGTGCAGTAAACACAACCGTTACCGGCAGAACTCAAATCATAGGGCCCAGGTTGGCAGTAAGGTTAGACGTTGTTTAACCCAGTCTCCCGCCCCTGCCCCAGGCTCCACGCATGTCTGCTGGGTCCTGTCCGTCACGCCCGCCTCGCTGCAGCCCCCTGAACTATCTGTCACCCGCCAGGCCCCTCCGTCCACGGGACTTCCCAGGCAAGAATACTGAAGTGGGTTGCCGTCTCCTCCTCCACGGGCTCTGCCTGACCCGGGGATCAGACGCACATCTCCTGCACTGGCAGGCAGGTTCTTTACCACTGAGCCACGTGGGAAGTCCCAGACAAGTGGAAGCCGTTTTATGCCTAAACAGGGTAAAATTTTTCTCATGAAAGAAAAATTGCTACTTCTTGAGGCAGCCATGAATCTTTGCACAACTATGTTAGAGAATACATTTTTATATTAATGTCAGATCTGTTTCTCATGTGCTCTTTTATTCATTCATTGGTGCCAGGTGCAGAATGTCACAGGACCGATAAATCAGACATGGTCCACCCTCTCTGGGAATTGACAGTTTAGTAGGGCCAACACAGTGTGACAGTTAGAAGTGGGATTGGTGCCCAGGAGAGAAGAACGAGTGTGTAGGAGCCAGCAGTCAGGAGCTCGCAGTGCAGAAGCCAGGGAAGGCCTCCCTGAGGAAGAGACACTTCCTGAAGGATGGGAAGGAGTTTGCAAGGCTAATGTCCTCCTTTCCCCTTGGGGCAGGAAAGATGGGCCTACAGCCTTTTCAGATGGCAGCACTTCAGGTGTTTGAAGTCCTTTGTCTGTCTGTTCAGTCTTGTTTTACCCCAATACTTCCAAGTTCTGTGGTTGCTCTTTCTTTGACAAGGCATTAAATATATTCACCATTTTAACATTATTCTTTATAAAGTGCATCACCTAGAAACAGAAATTTCAGGTGAAATCTTGTGTAAAATGGATAATCATTTCTTTAAGTTGTAATTCTGTTGCTGTAGCCTAATCTATTCATTTCAGTAAGCACATTATTGACCCTCAGTGTCTTTATTAGCAATTAAAGTCCTCAATAAAATGTTTAACGTGTGTTAAGTCATATCTCTTTTATGTTTTTCCAGTAAGTGTTTTTGGATACTAGAGTAGAATCTTACATTTATTCCTATTAAATGTTAACACTCTATTAGACCTCAGTTTTTCATATGAAAAAAATGGGAGCTTTTTTGGAATCTGATGTTGACTTTTACTCTAATGTGCTGTTTTTCCTGGTATGTTAGGTTTGGCCAGTATTTTCTCTAAGAATTTTATTTAAAGCCTGTTGTACAGGATACAGAAAGCAAGTACTTGGCCTTCTACTGATGACCTCCAGTGAGGTAGAAATGGGCCACTGGGTGAGGACAGGTAGCCACATTCTCAATTTCTCAGTCTTTATAATTTTGAAAGTAAGGGATGATATTTGTTAAATGAATAATCCTTTTAAAAACAGATAATTCTTTATGCCTTAGCTTGGACTGCTTTAGCTAAATACCATAAACTGACCAGTTTATGAACACCATAAATTTATTTTCCATAGATTTGGAGGTTGGAAGTGCAAGATCAGGGTGCTGGCATGGTTGGGTTCTGGTGAGAACCCTTCTGGTTTGCAAACTGCTGACATCGTGTTGTATCCTCCTGTGGTGGAAACAGTGTGAGAAAGCCTCTGGCCTCTCCTTATAAGGGCCCTGATGCAGTTCACAGCGGGTTCCCTCATCTCATTGCCTCCCAAAGGCCCCAAATACCATCACGTTAGAAATTAGGTGTCAGATAGAAATTTAGGAGGTACACAAACATTC